GGAAAGCCTTTGCGAAGACCTTGGCGTAATACTTACCATATTTACCACATTTGCGTCTTTTATTTAAAAGGGTAGTTTCCTTCTTTCTTCCCTCTCCTTTCCCTGTTTACACATCCGTTTATTAGTGACATGCATGAGGCTGAAAGCAATTAGTGCTTCATCTATCAAATGTCTGTGGCATAAGGGACCGTGAGGTGTTCTCCCGTCCCAGGGAGGTATCGCTCCGTGACTGGGGGTACAGGAGGAGTTATGTGTAGGTTTGGAGGAGCACACACTGCAGCTCACTGTGCCATTCCCAAAGGTCACTCAGCCAGACCTGGACTTTGAGGGCTGCAGCTCATTACTTCTCTAATGTTCTCACTGCAGCTGCTGGCATTAATATAGCTACTTCCAATTCGGGTGTATGAACCACGTCTGGAGGTGTCGTGTCAGCCGTGAAGGTACATTTGGGGATTCAATGAAGCAGTTTTGGGTGCTGAATCAGAGCGAAGTCAAGCACTTGTCTCTGTGCAAGGCAATGGTGATTAATGCCAAGTGAAAAAAAAGCAAAAGAAATCTGGCCACTGGCATTGTGGAGAATTTCGAAGGACTTAAAAAAGAAAAGAAAAATGATGTGCTACAGTGTGCTCCATGTCACCCTTCAGTTCACTGCTAAGAAAAGAGTGTGGGACTGAGTTTGAAGGAACAGTGACTATGAACCAGGAACCTGTAGGTCCACCGAGTCATTTTTGATTGCTCTCGAAATGAGAATTTTTCAAGTTCATTAATGTTTTCGAGATACTAATCACCGGCTGGAGGAACTGTTCCAGGAGTGCTCAGTACCTCGCAGTATCATTAATTTTCAAAGTCCTATTTAAGATTATATGGGTCTATGAATTGTCTGCAAATGTTTCCACACTTCTGGCAGAAACAACTAGTGAGCAGATGAATTATTTTTCGAGGGCTGTGCGACCGAGCGCAGAGCTGCACAGTTCCCTTCCACATGTCTGTATTTAACAATGAAGACAGATTCAAGTTTTCACAAATTTTCAAAATAAACAACAAAGACTGCAGTGTTCCCTGGGCACCTGCCTTTTTCCTGCTGGGCAGCAATGTTGCAGCATTACCTGTGTTTGCTCAAATCTGTTTGCAGCCTTTGCTGGGTTCTAGTCCAGCATTCCAGCACTGGGACACAAAGGAACTGATTGAGTTTTGCTGAGCATACCCACTGATAGGTTGGCCTAATGACATTTTTGTTAAGTATATTGTATGGCCTTGCCAGTCTCAGGTAGAAGAACGATCCAGGAATCCTAACACTCTACCTTCCTTTAGCCTCTTCCCTGTTCATCTAATCTCTAATGTGTTTCCCATTTTCTGGACCAAAAAAAAAAAAAAAAAAAAACGAAACAGAAAGAAAAGTAAATAAATCAAGTGAGTAACCAACTCCAAGGCAAGAATTCAAACTGAGCAGTGTGACCTTCCCCTTTCAAGAGTGCAAGGACATAATTTCCAATGAAAATGATCCAGCACCAGACTCGAAAAGGGTCCTGAAAGTCACAGATTAATTTGGATTTCCCATGCTACAGGGAACAGCACTTCTGTTAATACTGGCTGGCCACCAAAATTTAGTGTATATAAGGAGTCAACAATTGTACATTGTATGTTGTTACTTCAACACAAAAGTCAAAGCATGGAAATAATTTCTGGCGTAATTATTCTTCTATTATTTGATGCCTTTCTAAGCAGCTGATGGGTCAATATTGAACAGAACTACCTGTAATTCAAGTTCCCATTGTTTTATTTAACTGCTTGTAGGCAAATAAATGTTATAACAGATTTCAACAGTTATCAAACATTTTCTCCCATGTTCATGTACTTTTCTCATACAAATTGTTTGGGAATTCATCCTTCTGCCTTATTTAATTTATCATTAACTATTTGTTAACTTTGGTCCAATGGTCAAGTATATACCTACGTATCATGATATGCATAAAATAAAGTATATAACAGCTGAACAGGATAAGCTGCCAACAAATCTTTAAGGTGACCTGATTTGCAGTTCATGTTTACCTGTGTTATGAATTTAATTCTTACAGCACAAACCCCAAGGCTGAAGTTCTAAAACTATTGGTCATGGCAATACAACTTTCACACACAGTGACTTGCAACAACTGTTTTGAGGGCTAAGAGGTGGCTCAGCTCCAGTGCAAGCCTCAGTCCTTGGTTGTTCCAGCTGGTTCATCTCAGTTCCACTGCGTTTTGGGCAGTCATGAGTTAAGACCACTTCACCCAAGGCATTGGAAAGCCATCCCACTATAAAATGTGGGGTTCTGACTTCAAAGGAATAGGCCAAGCCATAGACTTTCACTGAAGTTCCTGGTAATACCCTCATCCATTTCAGTGAGTGTAAAACTGAGCCAGAGAAGAGCACATCTTACCCACTGGTTCGTATCACCATCCAGCCCTGCTGCAAAAGACCTAAGTAACATCTGCAGGGGCTGTATGCTCACTTGCCTTTTAATTTAGAATCAAATCTATAAATTCTCATTTGAAAAAACTCCAAAGAGCTACATTAATTAAATTAAATTTCCAAATAAAACCATCATATCCACATACATCACATTAGAGAGCAGGGGGAAAACCTAAACTCCATAGCCATTTCCAATGTGCAATTATTTTCAATACCTGAAAACGATATTGATCTTAAAGCTAAATAAAGTTCCTTACCCATGCTGTATTTTGCTTTGGTACATGTTGTTCTTTTCAATATTTCATAGACCTGCAGAAGCAAAATGCAAGAAAGGAAAGGGTTACTTCAAATACTGCCAGTGAAAAGCACAATCTTTTTGTGTACAGCTCAAATATTGGCAAAACCAAGATGTCAATGAAGTCATCATTCTTTAATAAAAGTCATGGCATTCAGGGGAGCAGAGCTTGGAGCTTTCCATGCTGAGTTATCTGGACAAGAGAAATGCTTAACTAAATAGACAACTGCCAAGAGAATTGATCAGGGGAGCAGGATTACATCTTGCCACTTGCACGACAAAAATGCTATTTTTGCTCATGTTAGGCATTGACTGAAGATCAAGAACTCTCTTCTACCCAGACCAGCTCTTCCCTCACCTCCAATGGTGTGAGCTGGCTCCAACCCAAGCCCTTGGGTGGCACTTCAGGCTCCCAACGTGTACACAGCAAGCAGCCGTTTATCAAACTGCACCAACACAGGCTGACCTTAAAATTTCTGAGCTTGCCTGACCTCAGTGGCAAAGCAGATGTATTTATTTTAGGATTTATTGCATTTATTGTTGAATAACCTTTGCACAGCTCAGCACGCTGCCCAAGAGGTTAAGCTTTGGGCTCCTCCTGTGCAGCGATGCTCTCGGGCAAGGGCTGGTGTGAGGCTGGCAGGGGAGCAGGCAGCTCAGGAAACCTTGAGCAAAGGCATCTGCTGCCTGCTGCCTGGCCTGTCTGGGGAGTCAGGACTGGTTTCCTGGCTCCCTAATCCATGTGCTAACTTGACTGCTGCCCAAATCACGGGTGGAAGCAAGTGAGAGCACCCAGGGCAAGCCCCACAGCTCATCTGCCTGTCATCATCTTGTAACTCCAGTGAGTTAGAGAAGAGTCTGTCACAGAGAGATTTCCAGTCATGTAATGTTTTAAATTTTCTTTTTTAATAACTAAAAGGTCTTTGGCTTAGCTTCTGTTCATCAAAGACTCACAGGTGGTGACTAGATTCCTGTTCATTTTGCTGCAGGAGGAAGGGTCAATATTTGCACTGTAGTTCAAAAATACATATGAGAAAGGCAGGAGAGAACTTTAAGGAAGAATACAAACAGAAATGCACAGAGAATAAAATCATTTTGGGAAGCATTCAATAGGTTCTTCATTACTGGGTGATATACAGGGATTTCAAACAAAATAACATACTACCAGCGCTAATGTTATACTCCCAGTGTTCCTTGAGTGGTTTAAGAAGCCCTTATCCCTCATCTTCCTCTCAGCCTCTGCTAGGACCTCCTGTTTCACTCCATTTTCCAGTTAGTCTTGCTCACCCTCTTGTCCTACAGTGCCATTTTGTCTTGCTGCCTTGCTCAGCCTGTTGTCATGAATTTTAAGTTTTCATTTGCCCCCTTGTACTTACAACTCTTTTTACTATACACCTAGACACAAAAAAGAAAGCCTGCCAACAAAAGCTATGCTTCTCTCCAACCTCAAGTTCAGTTTTTTACCACAAATACACCAAATCTACATCTGCTATTTTCTTTCCCATTTCTGAGCTACTGCATCTGCCTCCCCTGGTTGAGCTCACCTCACCCTGATAACCTGTGCTCACATCAAGTCACTGCACTTCAGGATAGAGGGGAACCACATTATGGAATGCACTGGAATTTCAAGGCAGGGGAGGCAAGTTAGGTATCTCACACCCCTTACCACAGCAGCAATAAAAGGCAGATGTGATTGCAATATAAACTCTTTTTTAAACCACTCAGCATCCCAAAAGGCTGATGTTAAATGTAAGATAAAAGCAGGCTCACAGTCACATTCCAATGCACCAATTAGGAGCAGTGGAATGAGGAAAAGAGTGCACCTTATACTCTGAAAGGTGTTGCAGCAAGTGTGCTTGGCATGGGCCCTTCAGCTGCCCTGGATGTCATACAAGCTGTCACTTCAATTCCCCCTCAGTGGTTGAACAGCAAGCCACACCTTCTTCCCCACTGTTTTATGTTCTGCAAGTCAGATAAAAATCATAAACCTCAACACTTGAGAACTGCCCCCCAAAACTATACATAATATTCCCTGTAAATACCTGGCTGTTTCATTGGAATTTGTCTTGGGATATTTCCCAGCATTCTGCAGTAAAAGCAACCTACAGTTCCCAAAAGGTAAAGGAGCCACAGCAGTGCAGGCACCTGATGGCAGAACCTGTGGAAGAGTCGAAATATTCCTTTCTGGTGATATCTCTACTAAGAAACTAGATCCCAGATTAACTGTGAACTAGAAAGAAGAGCCAAATAATTTTCTGAAAGGCAGCAACCTGTTAGCATCAAATATTATTCAGCATATAACCTAAATCTGGAAATGCTTTATCTATGATTTCAATACCTGATGGCACAGGTGAGCCCTGGCACTCGATTAAGAAAGGCAAACTTGAACAGGCAGTGTGCTAAATCTGGCCAAGGGGCTGTTAACATCACGACTCAGGCAATATCCAACGCAAATTATTTATATACAGTACTTACTATAGTGCTTCTTGTTTTGCTGTCAAAGAAGGAATCTTTGTCAGATAAATCAAATCTGTTAAAAGATTAGAAGGAAGCCCATTAGGTTATAAAATGTCAGTATTTTCCTGCTCTTGTTGATCCCTTCAATATGTTCATTTCTCCTGGGGATCTCTCAAAGCTAACATTAAAGAACAGCTTGTAGAAAGCTCATTAAAAAGAAAGTCCAACCCAACTCTCATCATTTAACTGGTTTTATATCCTTGTAGGTTTTTCTGCACAAAAGAGACCGTTGATCCTCATTTAAGTTGAACTCATGAGCACTGCTGCCCTTGAATTTCCTCTAATATTCCTTTAATTTATCTCTGTGCCTTAAATCCTGTGAGGCCACTCTTGCCTCCCTTGTTCAGCAAGGACACAGGTGGACTCAGTGAAAAAGCCACCACTGCCAACAGCATAAGGCACATCCACTCCTATGCTAAGGAGCACTTTTTGGACCTCTTCTGGGCCACCAGGCCACTGCCAACAGCATAAGGCACATCCACACCTATGCTAAGGAGCATTTTTTGGACCTCTTCTGGGCCACCAGGTTCCTTCACTGCAGGAACATCCTACACCCAACAAATACACAATTACATTTCGTGCGAGTCCAAAAACAATGTCAGATGTCACATACATTGACTGACCCAACTAACACACACAACTCCAACAGTGTTCTGCATCTCTGGATTAAAAACTAAAAGCCCTGTATGTGCAGTGAAAAAATCCTGCCCTGGGACTGTTGTTTGTTCCAGCTGGCACATCCATAAACACAGCCTTCAAAGTGACTCCTCTGGGATGCTGGCCAAGGAAGAGCAGCAGCAAAGCAATCCAGGGCAGTCCAAACTTTGGCTGGGCCCACCTTGTGATTTTTTTCCTACACCCACATTTACAGCTGTTCTTACTGATTGGAGATCAATGGCAAAGCCACCACTGACTTCAGAGCACTTCAAAGACCAGGCCTGGTTGGCAGTACCTGTGTCAGCTGCCCATACCAGATAAGTGAAATGATTCTAGAATTTATCCAACCCACATTCTGGCTACAAATTTTATTGAGCATTTTATTTTATGTGGAAAAGAGACTATTGTAAACCACATTGTAAATCATGTTTGGCAGCCTAACAGTTGATGTGTATAGCTATATAGATATGCATTATGTGACACAGCAGCAGCTGAAACACACAGAGATTTCACAGAGGGGCTCTATGAGGTATTATTCCTCAACAGTGAGCCAAAAAAACAAGCACATTTACTGCAAAATGGAAATCTTTACAGTAATCCCTAACAAAGTGTTGGCATCCATTTTCCCATTCACCTTTTGGTGCCTTAGCTGCTATCAGAGAGGCTGGACCCACTTGACATGGTCATTAGGAGAAAGTTTTCACTTACAAGTGCTGCTTCTCCCTGGAGAAGGGGTAGGAGAGGCGTTTCACCGTCTGAGGTTTGTGCTCTGCCACTTTGGGCTGGATGGGCTCTGTTATTTTTTGAATGACAGAATTAATCTTTTTCAGAAGGCCATGGGTCTGGTTGATCTGATACACCTGAGGGGGCAAAGAGAGAAACAATAGAACTTTATTGATTCTGGTTTTCCGTAAGTGAGAGTGAACTGTAAGATGTAAAGCAGCAATGAAATAAATGCATCACAATAAACCATGGAGGAATGTGGCTCACCTTCTTGAAAACGTTCTGAAAGACATGGATGGATGGGCAAGTAAAATCCAGGCAAGCAGAGGAAACCTAATGGTTTTCCTCTGAGACAACACATAGCCCATGTTTGATCCAAATGATCAGACTGGGATCAGCACTGGCTCCTGAGACACCAGTTCCTCTGGTTTCTACTGTTTTCTTGGAGCAATGGGACAAAGAAATAAAGGAGCTACAAAGCCCCTGTGGAAAATAATTTTCCCAGGGGCTTTCCTGGGGATATTGTGCAGGTTCAGGAGTTTCACCTCTTCCATATGAAGGAACCAACATATTTTGTGTTGTCAGATGCAGCTCTGTAGCACTAAATGCAGGAATTGTGTTAGCAGGTCGCAAAAGAGGATTACAGGCTTCCCTCTCCAAGCCACAGAAACTACATGCAGACCCATGGCAGGGCTCCACCACTGCAAAATCAGCTGGAAATAAGCTTCTAGGGGTCTGAGGGTGTTCCCAGGCACATGGCTTCTCCTGGGAAATGCCTGCAGACTTAGGTGGCCTCTTTTACACACAGAAACCCCCCAAAAATCCCAACCCTAACTTTCCTTTTGTGGCAAAGCAGCTTTTACTGCAGGATCACAACAGACTTTTTTGATCTAATTGTGCTTCTAATTAAAATCAGTGAGGCAATAATGGGGATTAATATGAAATCCAAACCAAAAGTGTGGTTTTAGTGTTGTAATAAATGCCAATGGGCTTTGAGACTGTCTCTTGCTCCATTACAGACTTCCCTCTGCAGTCTGGGACATGCACTTAGTCAGTGTTTAAATATTAATCCATGGCTAAGCTATGCTCTCTGAACAGGTATCTATCTATCATGGGTGATTTAGAATTGATGAAAATATACTGTCATTTCTTTAATGATATTTCAAATATGCTGAAAGGTAATTTATTTTGTGGTACATTGGCCCCAACTCCTGCAAACGTGACTAACAATCTATGTGAATAGTCACTGCACCCAGTGAGACTTCTGCACAAAAAAATCCTATTCTTATGTTCATTTTTAGCAGTCAGGAGGGAAAAAAAAGTCCAAAACACACACAGAAATTTCATCATCAGTTGCAGCCTCTTCATTGAAAACACACTGAGAACAAAATCACTCTCATTGTGTACAGATAGTGGTAGTGGCCAGAAATTTTTGATTTCCATTCCTTCCACTTATTCTTTCTGCTGCCTCAAGCAAGTTTGTGGCTCTCATTTTTGGTGCTGATTAGTTAATTATTTTAAAAGTGCTTGTGGGAAGAAAAGGCTACATTTCTAAGGTGCTCCAAGCTTATGTTCAAACTATTCTTTCCAGAGGAAGAAAAGAAAAACAGGACTCACCTTTTTTGTTGGCATCTTGAGCTTAAGAAATTCTGCCTCTCGACACAATACCTTCCAGGGTGCATGTATTTTTACAAATCCAATCCCATGGATTTTAGTCTTAAAAAAATAATCAAGAGAAAAGGTTACTGATGAGAGGGAATTAAGATTTTTCCCCTTGTGATTCATACATATTTAAGGAACAAACAGTCCATTACAGCCAACATGATAAATCTCATTTGTTTGAGATAGCTGGTTTCTAACAACAGGACAATCACTGAACACCTCACTGTGCTGAGCTGCTATAAAATGTGACTCAAAAATGCTATTGTCTTCCAGAACAATTACCACAAGGTTAAACAGATAAAAATTGTTTGGGAAATGAAAGCTAATGACTATGGACACAAATACAGGCTAAGCCAGTTAAATTTGAAGCACGGGCATCCAGCCAAATGGTATGATTTCCTGAGTGTGTTGTAATTACTGGAGCTGAGACAGTCCCTGCTGCCTCCTGAGAGCTGCTCAGTATCTCAGAGGAGCTGCCTCAGAATCAAAGGGGAATATCTCCATTAAAACATGAAGCATTATAATTAGGAAAACTGGCAGAAAGAACTCAATAAAGGAAAGGAGAGAAAGATGAAGGCTGATGATAGCAATAGTGGTATGCCTGCAGCCCACTGGTTCTCTGAGCTCTGTCCTAGCTGGCAGGACGTGCATGTTTGCTTCTGGCACTCCCACATACACCCATGTTTACTCCCACTGGACTAATCATTCCAAAGGCACTGGACAAACGGTATCAAACTAGGAGATATTCAGCAAACACAGGAGAAAGCAGCTTTAATGAATCTTTCTAATTTTGCTGCTGTATCAACTCAGACTGTTATAGATACCTACTGTGTGTACAGATATATATATTCTTATATAATATATATATAAGTAGCTTTCACACAGATATATTCCACACTGGCTTTCTAAAAACTGGTTAGTCAGAGGAATGGTTTGATTTGGAAGGGATCTTAGAGATCACCCAGCTCCAACACTCCTGCCACAGACAGGGAACCTTCCCCCAGCCCAGGCTGCTCCAAGCCCCATCCAAGCTGGCCTTGTTTTAACAACCTTTGTGTGACCATCCAGCCACTTCACTGAGGAGAGTTAAAGTGACTTATTAAACATCATCTCTTTAAGAAACCTTTGCCTTTTTGGAATCAATAAAGTCTCCAATGCAACTCTGTGGCTTTTCAAGCCCAAGTGATTGCAGGTGTCTCCCCCTACACTGATGTGCTGGCTATGGAAGCTGATGTAAATCTTTGAGGTTTGCTTTCATCTCTATACATTCCTGGTCTGGTTTGGTATCTTGGACTGAAAGGACAAGGTTCTCTCTCTTTTAAGTGTCCTAGCGTGAACTGTGAACCCTTCTGCATGATTTGAAATCATATTACATGTCACAGGTGGAACCTCCCATCTTGCAAGGGTTTAAATATTTGTCACTTGGCACAGCCAAGCCTCCAGTTTGCTGCAAAAACTTGCACGTTTGACAGAAAGCAAGTCTTATTTTCACTAGGAGACAGAGAAGGGAAAGGATTTTTTTTTTTGCATTATACCATGCAATATATATATATATTACATACATATAATATATAAAATATGCAAATGTATGTAATTCGTGAGTAATAAGTGGCAGGGTTATTTTCTTAACACTCTGTTCACAGGTCTAAATGTTCATCTCAGCTTTTAGATCCTGTAAATAAACCCAGCATAAATGTTTACCCTCTCTCTCAAGAGTTTCAGGCCTATTGGTTGGATCAGTTAATTGCAATAGCTTTCTTTGAAATTAATATGGCTGTGTCTATTTCCACTAATCACACACTGGCAGCACTTCACACACATCATCTTTTACATAGTCTAATGGTCTTTTAATAGAAGACACTGTTTTCAGGGTACAGGTGAAAGGCATTACAAGCTGTACTGTTCACAGCTAAGAATGGAAAGAGCAAACTGTAACACAGACCCACAGGCTCAAGCTGGAGCATGTACCAAAAACTCCTGAACAGATTTAATTCTCTTGTAGTCTATACTGAAGAATAAAGATGTCACTGCATCAGGTATTTTCCTTCAGAACTGGCATTACCAGTGCATCCAAATCACTGCATACTGTAAACCCACTGAACTATGATTAGTGTTCAGAGCAATTTAAGCCTCACTTCTAGATACAACACCACACTGACAAGCTGTGTCACAATAGTGGATGTGCCACGAGTCCTGGCCAAGAAAAATCAGAAACTTCACCTCATTGGGACATTAACAACACTGTACCACATTCCTGTGAAGCAAATTAAATCAGTGGGTGAGTTTGGCACTGCCAGAATTGAAATCAAATTCTGCAAGAGTTGAGACTGTGTAACCTTGATCACAGGGATGGCTCAGCACCTCCCAGGATCTGACCACCAGTTATCCTCTTTATCTTAAACTGTTTTAAACAGATCCTTACATCCTCATCACGTTCCAGTTCCAGACCAGCCTCCACGAGGTTCCCTTCATACTCCTCCCTGCGAAACCTCTTGTCATCTTCGTGGTAATCCACGTGAGGTTCACTTTCTCCCATTTCCAGCTGCACTCCCTTCCCAGGAAGTGGCTGGTCCTGCTTGGTGCTTCGGACACTCGAATCATTCTGATGAACTCTCCTAGAGAGCATCTTCCCTGACGAGGACTTCTTGTAATGATAAACGAGGATGTAGTCAACTTTTCTCTTGCCATCTCTGAAGTAGAGTCCATATTTGCAGTCGGCATCTGGATTTTTGGACAGGGAATTTAATAACTGCAAGCAGGGAATGGGGGTGTGGAGAGAAGGAGAGAGAAGAAGAATGAATGCACATGCCAACACGAACACCAGACAGACCATACCCTTGTATCAAGGCCTCCTTGCCTGGAGCACACGATGACCTATCTTCAAACAGGCAGCAGATGGGAGGAGTCCCCCCATGCTACTTACTCACAAAATTTTTGCAAGTTAACACCTTCAATTTTACTGATAGCCAGCTGGGATTTTATTGGCCAGAAATAAATAGCTTAAATGACTGGGATTTAATCTAATCACCAGCACACTAGTTCATAAGTCAGCTACTTGGTGGATTTGGTTTTCTCCTTTGGGGGTTAATCGCCACTAAGATCATCTGTCTTTTTCCACCCATGACATCTGCAATGTTGCAATTCTGACAAATAGATTAATATCATGTGGAAACATTTCTCACTTCTCTTATCTATCATTGCAAGTTTGTATCATCTGAGAAAGAGATCATCTTAGATACAGACTGAAGGGAGCCAGCTGGTCATGCAGCACAGCCAAAAATGCAGATGGACTGCAGCCAGGGAAGTGGGTTCACTGCTTACTGAGTTCAACACTTTTCCCCCCACTTACAAAACCTATGACACTATGCAATATGATGGTGGCAAAGGCTTTATTCCCACCCTGAATTAACACTGTGTAAGTGCTGCAAGATGCAAGAAAGGTAAGACTTCAAACACAATACGTTTTTCCAAGCATTGACTTGAAAAGTGCACAGGGCAACTGTGGAAACATAAAAAGTATTAACAATTATTTATTTCTACTTTTATAGCACTTGTTATGCATAACTCACAATTCTACCCTTGGAAATGCACAGGCTATTAAAAAAATATATATAGTTCACTAGTAACTTGCATTTGTTTTTACAAAAACTACTGGTCACAGGAGTGGCTTTGCAGGGCCCAGGGACATTTTCTGGCTTTTCATTTTACAGAAGAATGTTAATCCTCCACATGAGGAAAAGGAATTTGCTGCAAAAGACCAATTAGCCATCAGGTGCAAAATGTTCAAATGCATTTGGGATGGGCACAGCTACCTGTTTCAGACAGAAAACTGTGAATGTAAGTTATTTGGAAGGAGTGGTTTCTAAGACAGTCCAACTTTTATACCCTGGATGAAAAGAGGAACTGCTGAGTATCTTGGGGAGATATTTACTCAGACAACAAATTCAAGCAGCAAACCCTGTTTCCCTGGGTTTGGAGGGAGGACAAAGTGCACTGAAGAAGTAATTAGACAAGTGTAATCAGATAGATTCTGCACAGCAATAGCACAGGACCAGGAGGACTGGAGACAGGGAGAAGCCCAAGAGGACAGGCAGCGGTGGAGCTGTTGCCTGCTGAGGTGGGGATGCCTGAACAGTCACTGCCTTCCAAACCCTGACTTGAGCACATCTGCCCAGGACCAGCTTGGCTGCAGGTCTCCATGCCCTCAGCTCCTTGCAGCTTTGCCCCTTGCCTGCCTTTGCTATCTGTTCCTCTCTTCTTTTCCTTTAGGATCTCACCTCCCTTTTCCATTTCACCTAAACTCTTTGCATCAAACACACAAATATATAATAAAATAATACAGCATTTGGTGCCACCCTGGAATTCACTTTGTCCTCCTCCCTCTTTTCCTTAGTCCATAGAAACAGGGAAGCTTCATTAGCCAGGACAAACTCTCCAGGGCACAGGCTGTTCATGTTTGTGCCCTATCTAGATATTCCTATTCAGTTCTGAAGCATAACTTCAATATAAAATACCATTAATAACTATTACTTTCCACTTGCTTCATGATTAATGGCTGCACCTGTGAATTCAGAAGGTTTCTCAAAGCAAGCTGACAGGCTGCTTGGGGCAGACAACTCACTCATGCAAATTTCAAGAGAAACAAAATGGTAACAAATGGTAACTAACTGGATTGTATTTAATTCTTAAAGATGTGTTGATCTTATTAATTAATTAAACAACAGTTTCTGAAAAACTGGGCTGAACCACCAGATGTTCAGCTAAGTGCAGGGAGATAAAACAGGCAGGAGACTCAGAGCTCAGCCACTTCCTACCCTTGCTGGACTGACTTTACAGGGGACAGCAATTAGCTGGTCTGTCCTGAAGGCTAATAAATAAAGGAAACAGGCAGGACTGAAGGCAGGTCTTCAGCAGTGAGTGTGCCAGATGATCCTAACTGCTTGGGGAGCTCAGGAGTACATCCTGGGCACATCCTCTTCCCCTGGAGCATACCCTGGGTGGAGAAAAGTTTCCCTAAAAATCCCCAGGGTCTGTTTCCTCAAGCCACTGCCACTGGGAAGGGAACAGATACACTGCAGAGAGTGACTGAGAGTTTCTTCACAGTTCTTTCCTCTTGAAAATCTGACCATGTGGGGAGTCATGGATAACTTAGGAGAAGGTGCTGCACTGTGACTTCCAAAGCCTCAATACATTTACTAATATATGAGAAAAGCTACATCCCACTGCAAACAGGATGCAGCTGAAAAACTTGGTCCTGCTTTAAAGAAACAAGTGGCCAGATTATTTTAAGGCTGAGGTGTCAATGCTGAAAGGCACTCACTGGCCACATGTTTTCTTGCAGTGTTGCTGTGCTGAAATACAGAGTTGCATTGACTTTGACCATGTAAAGCTCATGGCTCTTCAGTTGTGAATGAAAGAGAAATGACATTTTACTTTTACCACAGCAGGAGGATATTTACACTCTGACAGAATTAGTAGTCCATCCTAATTAAGCACAAGCACAATAAATCTTGCTTTTTCTGGTACCTCTTTCCCCAGTGTGATCTGTTACATGGACTTCTCCAGCTCAACTCCTTCACCTGAATAAACTTTTTATATACTTATAACATAACCAACTCATAATCACATTGGGTATTCATATTACAAACTTACTTTAAAATAGGTGTTAAAGAATTTAACCAAGGCAGAACTAATGACACTGGAAATCTAACCTGTATTGTGAGCTGCAGAGTATTAGTTTAACGTTACCTATATTAAAAGTAGCTTTGGCATGAAATTTTAGACATTCTTTTCATACTTCTCTATATGGGAAAGGAGATATAAAGGTTGCCACAGCCTTATTGCCAATTTCTTACTCTGAAAAGAGCTAACCCCTTTTTATATTACAGGTTAAACAACTTGTTTCCCTTTTTCACACATCAAAGAACAAAACCCACTACAACAGCATCTGCTGTGGCTTGTGGCAATCCTTCTCAGCACCTTTGGGAAAGGGAGGGAGAGGAGTTCAGAGCATCCTGGGAAAGGAAAGAATGAGCAATAAGCTAAGGGGTGAGTGCAGTATGCCTGTTAGGACACATCTGGCAAGTCCTTTACTCACTGTACTCTCGTGCTGGTCATATCCTATGTCCTCAATAGCTCGGATGTTGATAATGTGGATCCCCTTCTCCTCAGCAGGTAGACAGGAGTATTTCTTGTTCACCCTCATTCCTGTCTCCTCTGGAGCCTCGTTGAGATCTTCTGGCAGAAAATCCACCCCATGAAACTCACTGTCTGCGTCTGAAAAGAAAATGAACTATTTTATCAAGACACTTTAATCCCAACACTTGCTCCTCCCAGAGCCACCCAAAAGCTGAAACGTATCCTGTTCCTGCCTTCTGCCAATGAGCCCTTGTGCAGGGCTCCCACCCCTTCCCTGTGCCTCCCTTCTCAGCTTTCCTCAGCCCTCTTCAGCCCTACCTGGGTCTCCTCCTCCTCCAGAGGAGGAGTGCTCAGTTAAGTTTTTCCTGCACTGGTGTCTCAGGATGTGTTTACTCTATGGTCTCATAGAATGATTACATGTCTTGGCACCAGAAGGGAAAAAGGGGGAGACAGAGAAAAATGGCCTGAGAATGAGCTGGTGAGGATAGGTGGCATGGTGCTTTTCCCCTTTCAGCAGGCATTTTCCCATTCAACAGGCACTTATTCATGCAGAAAAACTAAGCAGTGAGTTTCCCCTCAAGTATCTACATACTGCACCTGATTTACTGAACCATTCTTATTCAAGTAGTTTTGAAAATCTGGAGTTTTCTCCCTCTCAACCTGCCAGACATCTGAACTGTTTCTGCTTACTATTTCAGTATACAGATAAGCTAAAGGATTTCATATTAAAATTTCACTACAAACTGAGCAACCAGATAACTGACAGAATGCAAATTAGTGTTTGCATCTGTGAACTTATGCAAGCAATACAAGGCAAAGTGTTCCAAGATTTTATTCATTTTGACATTGAAGTAAAATACTACAGCACTGTACCCTTTTCTTTAAACCACACAGGAGCAAGGCTTGCTTGTCTAAAGAGTGAAGAAAAAGCAAGAATTTTAGAATTTAGCCTTGAATGGATACTAAAATAGCTTTCCCCAAAAAAAACAAACAACAAACATGCAAAGGAGCACACTATAATAGCAGCTACATTGCAACAAGGCAGTTGTTGCTGCAACTAGATCAACACTGTCTCTGGAGCAGATAGCAGAAAAATTGTATGGAATTAGCCCATTAGGAAAAATAATTCCCTCCTACCTAAAGCTACCCAAAAGCTTATGATGAGGTGAGGATAGATACTACACTTTAATTAGCTATGTCTTAGCCCAAGAGCATGTTACTCCTCTGCACCAAATTACCCATCTGGAACTGGTTGAACTTCAGGGATGATCTGGAAGGAAGAGACAGGGTAATCTCATCCCCAGAAAGTTTGCAGCAGACCTGAAACCTAGGAGCATGGTTGATAAGCTGGAGGGAAAGGCTGTCACCTCAAAAGGTCTTCACAGGCTGGAAAAATGGGCTGAGAGCAGCCTCATGAAACAAAAAAATCAAATATGAAGTCCTGCACTTGGACAGACTAATCTCAAGCACAAGCACAAACTGGGCATGGACTGATAGAAGTTAGCTCTGCAGGAAAAGGACCTGAGGATCCTTGTGAAAGGGTTCAAAGTGAGTGATCATCTAAAGTGGTGAAGGGTAGCTGCATGCTAGATCCCTTTAGTAAGAAAGCAAAGACAGCAGGTCTAGGCAAATGATCTTCTCTTTTAATGACACTTTCCAGACCACAGCTAGAGTCCTGTGCCCAGTTTTGGCTCCCCAGCGCAAGAAGGACAGCAACAAACTTGAACGAGACTAGCAGAGGATCATCAAGATGGTCAAGGGCCTCAAGTGCACAAGGAGAGGCCCAGAGATGAGAAGGCAAATGATGGGGTCCCACTCCTGCCTTCAGCTACCTACCGAGTAAGTACAGACATGGCAGTGCCAGATTCTTCTCATAGGTGCACAGCAATAGGTCCCATCTTTTGATGGGACACAGGTTGCAACAAAGGAAGTTATGACCAGACATTAAAAAGATCTTGATTCTCTAACAACAAGGATGATGGGGAAAGAAACCAGGGAAGCTACAAATCTCCATTGATCCCTGGAAATGGTCAGAGCTCAACCACACCTGACCCAGCTTTAGTGTTGGAAGGGCAGTGCTTGAACCTGTGATCCAGGCTCTTCACGGTGACATGCAGGAACTAGCATGGACAACAACCTGCAGCAGCAGAGGAGGAAGATGCAGCCAAAGCCTTGGCACTTCTTTTGAGCTTAAGAGAGTAAGACAAACATTATTATAATGAAAGTCACGCTTCTCTGGAATTTGTAGTTATGCTCCTCTGGAACTTGCAAACACCACAAGTTCATGGATCTTTACTTCAGTTCTGGGAAATCTGCTGTGCCAAGAGACACTCCAGAGGCTGCCCACTTTCCTAGGAACTTCAGTGCCCATTAACTTAATCATCTTACCATAAAAACTGGGCAGCAATTATCCTTACATATTCGTGCATGCAGCACGTAACCCACATCTCTGCAGATCTGAGTTGCTGTTCTTGGCTCTTCTTTAAAATTCTCAAACACCTATCTCACAACAGGTGCCACACTTGCAATCTTGGGGCAGCATCCTCCAACCCACTTGAGTAACAATTTGTAATAGTTAAAGAAGTTTTTTTGTGGGGTAATATAGAGATGCAGCCAAAAAATCTGCCGTCTCGTGGGAGCAACAAACATGTTTGTAACAATTCCCTTCTTTTCCTCAACATACACATGCATACACACACACTCCCTGAACAATGGGAATTGAAACAAGTGTGATCAGCTGCACAATCCTATGTACTCAAGCTTTTATTCTATAGCTGTAAAACACTAAAAATAATACAACAATTTTTGGAACTTCACAAGCATAACAACTTGTGTATTTGTAAGATGGTTGAAACAACTTTTGGAAACAATAGCTTAAATGCTGTCAAAGTCCTCTCTTTTCTCCTCCTTTCACACACACACTAAGTCAAACTTAGTTACTTCATCAGATTACAGAGGTTATTAGAAGAGAAGAACCTTTTACTGGCTATGAATCTGAATAATTCGTATCTGCCATAATAGACCTGTGAACTGAAAAGTGCTAGTGTAGAAATTACAAGTAGAATGGAATAGATTTAGATCAGGAAATGACAAGCTTCATTGAGTCCAAATGACCCCTCTGTGCACTTCTGAGCAGCATTGTCAAGTCCACAGCACAGAGCAAGGAGACCTGCTCAAATGATTCAGAACTATTGTGCAAGCCCAAACAATCCCCCAGCCACAAGCACATATTTACATATCTATTTACCCAGCAGTAGCCTGGCAATACTAGAAAGAACATATCCTTCAGGTAGGAAATGAATCACACAATTTTGCTTTATTATGATGACTGGAAAATATGTGAAATGTAAGAACTTTCTTGACATAATCTTTATAACAAGAAGTTTGATTTCGGTACTTAAAGATGATGTCAGGGTTTAATACCAAGTAAAGGCATCCAAACCACTTTGGTAATTACAAACACACAGGGATTATAACTAGTTCACTTGTGCTGATTTGGCAGAGGTCAAAGCCTTCTGTTGCAGAACACAAAACATCTTTTTACATGGAATAGAGTATTTTGAAGACTTAGAAACAAGAATCTCTATTTTGTGTTAATCATATTAAACAAGGAGAGTAATTTAATCTCAAAATAAATTCATGTTCAGAATTATTTATGGCATGATAGCAGATGTAAGATAAAGAGCTCAAAGCACATGAATGTCCTAATTCAGCTAGAGTGACATCCTAATCTCTTAGTTGGGAGCTGAAAGAAAAGAGCATTGTGAAAATTGCTAGCTTTGCTGCCTTCTAATGCTGACTAACCAACTCTCTTCTATTTACTAAGCAGAAAACACTACAACAAAGACTTGAAGAAGTGCTTGATGTATTTCAACACAGACATAAACCCAATCTGCCCTTTCTCCTCTGTATCCACAGCTGAAGTTGCTAAAAAGCCCATGGATTTTGAGTCAGCAGAAGTCCCTAATATTCCTGGAACATGGACTCAAGATCCACCTGGTCCTTCTTTTACACTTTATTATGTATTGATTTAATTATTTCCCAATATTTGCTACGAATCACAAAACACCAATCATACACCAACTATCCAACACAGAATGATATAAAGTATTCCCCACCTGTCCCAAAACATCCATGTCCTGTAAGAGTGCAGAAAGCTGGTAAGCATTTGATACCAATTTCAATCCCGTGCATGAACCAGGTTTGAGAAGGTATTTGATGAACAAGAGATGTGTACAGAGCTTCTACCTTCCTTAGCACAGGTGCTGAAAGGTAATTCCCATATTTTCTGTTAACAACTCTGTATTTTTCATAGCTGGTATAAAAGAACTGGATTTTAGGCAGCATTTGTGTTTGGGAACAGCTCCATAGGGTGAATGACCATTCACATACCTTTACAGCTGTTCCTTTTTTTGTTAGGAGTGAGGTAACATGGGAGAGCAAGAAGAAGATACAGAAACTGATGTTTGCAGCAGCCCTCAAGCTACTTTTCTGCTGTGGGAGTTTTCCTGGAGATCTGGGACGATGCACAGAGATCCAAAGCACAGAGGTGCTACAACAACCTTACAAACTGAAGTAAAGTTAGAGATATCTCAGCTATTCTGCCATTATTTCCCTCTGAGATGCATGAGGTATGATGAGCTCTATGCCATTTCCACTACAACACTAGCAAGAAATATATGACTATATGCAGTAGATATGAAGTAAATAAACCTCTATGAATCACAAAGATGAGAGCACGAGGACAGAACCTGGTGAATGAAATGATCAGGAGAGACAAGTGCATTATAACTGTCAGGAGGTTCTGTGCACTTTTGGTATCTTCACACCAGTCACTTCCCTCCCTGAATCTTCAACGAGTCTCTCATTCTGAACAATGTGGGAAACAAGAGTGAATTAATAAAAAAAGTCACTCAGACTTGAAATCACCTGCTCCTTTGTTCAAATTTCAGTTGCAACTGTAAAAATTCTCAGTCTTCTTGCAATAATTAACACCAATAAATCAAAGATAAATTTCCCACCACTGAAATTTGGCACGTTATGCTGTAACCTTTCCTCGTTTAGACA